GGSMMYCTGTGCCAGGGCCTCATGAAGTCCAAACCAGTGTGGCTTGGTGAAACAGAGCCTCTCCTCTCCCCAGATGGCACAAGAYCTTACCAAAAGCCGCCACTGTCAGTGGTGATTTCTCATCTGTCGGGCTGGGCTCGGGCACRTGGCTGGAGGAGTTCGGTGTTGGGGTGACAGGCTCTGAGGTGYCTATAGAGGGGAGAAAGGTAGATTTACATAGAAGTCTTTCTTCTAAGGCTGGGAAGAGGATTCCTAGCAATGTTAGAGGACCTAACTCTCACTTGCACATTTTTGAGGAGATCAAGTTCGGATCCTGGCCAAGCCCATCAATCTTAACAGCAAAGTGAGCAAAACCTGTGTGGAATCATTGCCTTGGTGGGGCCCCTTTTATGGACAAGCTAAGAACACCCAGTCCTTCTGGGACTCCAGGGAGGAAAATCAGCATGGCAGGTCAAGGTCAGCCCTGGCAGTGTGTTTGAGGGGAGATTTTGTCCTGGCTCCTTTCTTTTACAATTTTTCCTCACCTTTCCTGCTGTGACTCACACTTTCTGTTTCCAGGCTAAGAGATTGCCCTGAAGTGCTGCTTCTGCAGAGCTTTACAGGCTTTCCACGGGATAGATGGGATGTTCAGCACCCCTGGTATTTGTTGGCCATTCTCCATGCTGCCCTGAAGACAGCAGTATGATGGCCTCGCTGCTGGCTGTGGAGAAGAATATAAAATATGGAGCAGGAATCACCTCTCTGCGAGGAGGAAGCACCTTGAGTCACTGATGTCGTGGTGCTTTCATTCCTCATAGGATGCTGRCCTGCACAGAGAGACACAGAATGTGAGTCTTGATCTCCAGTGTCATCTAAGAACCAAAGCAATTAATTGGTACCTGGAGAGGAGAATGGATTCATAATAGTGCTRATGATACCTGGGAAACATGGAATTAATACTTGCACTCCGTACTGAAATCTTCCCACCAAACTTACTTTGTACTATTTTCCATGTCCAAATGGAAACCTAGGGAACCAAAATTCAAATGCCCTTCTATAAACTCCTTAGGGTCTGCAGTCCCAGGTGCAGGTTTGGGGCAGAAACAGCAAGGGAAGGCTGGAAGACTGCACTGTGAAGATTATATATTTGTTATAGCTCATAAACATAGAGATTTTAAAATAAATCTACTTAGGGGAAGAAAAGTTGCAGAATGTGGGTGTGGATTGACTGCTTGGCTTGTCCCTAGGACTTGAAATGAGTGGATTTGCTATCGTGGGTTATCTAGAAGTAACGAAACTCGTTTGAGTTGGGCTGACTTGTACACCATGTGTAGTCTAGTTGTGGCAGKAGAGGTTTGTCCAGTTCTCAGTGGGATAAATGGAGAATGTGAAGCTGCTTGGTTTGTGACAGCTGCTTCCAGTGCCTGTGCAAGGAAATGTAAARCCAGCCCGTGTGTTTCACTTGTACAGAGCAAGAACATCCTTTGCTGCCTCCAGGCTGTTGTTGAACAGCCAGAGTGTCTGCATTGACCTTAATGAGCAGCTACAGGCCCTGCCAGGAGACTAAAAGTGATACTGCAGAGCTTCAGAGGAACATGTTTAGGTCATGTAGGATTTTCTTCCCTGCTTTCCCATCCCCATCTTCCCTGCAGCAGCGTTGGCCAAAGGGATGTGAYGTCTGGAGAGATGTGCACAGCTCCTGGCACTGCCCTGGGGAGCAGCTGAACCTGGTCCTGTCCCACAGAAAACTCCCCAGTTTTGGAAGGTGATTTTTCCAAAAGCCAGAAGAAAAAGGAGAAAAGGCATGAAATAACCAATCTAACTGTTTCAGAAGCCACATGGAATAAAACAGTCTGGAGAAGCAGGGTCTGCTGCTGTACAGTTTCCTCTCCCAGTCACTGAATTCTTTATTTCATTATGAAATTGTTCTTCTAGGCAGAAACGATGGTTTGCTGAGCCTGGCATGGATACCCCAACCCTGGAAAAAGCTGGGTCTCACACAACAGGAGACCTGGCTTTTGGAAGCATCAGCATCTATAGTCAGAGATGTGTGGAACCTCTCAGTGATGAATCAGGGTTGGAATGAACAGCAATCTGCTCTGAGCAAAGTGCTCCTGGCTTTGCTGCACACAGCCATGCTGGGTGGGCATCTGTGTGGGCACAGCTGACCATGGGYTCCTGACCTTGCTCATGTTAGTCATCTGAAAGGTACTTGCAGAGGCAGAGCAGTTTCTTGACCATTGCAGATTTTTAAGGTTGAATTTTYAATGGGGAATCATCTGAGTTGTCAGATTTCAGTCGTCCAGTTTCTTGGATTCTGCTTTTATTCCCAGCAAATTCTTAGTGGATTCTCTAATTTGTGCTTACAAGTTTAAGGGTTAAGCAAATTGTCAAAAAGCAAAATTATATTTATTTAAAAGGATCCTAAAAGGGCTCCCTTCTCCTTAACATAGATCCATTGTTCAGCTGCTCAAGTTCATGCCAGCACAGGATGTTAAGAGCATTTGACCTTGTGTTTTATTACTGCTTATAAGGACACCAGATGTGATTTTGGGTGTTAATGGTGGTTCAACCCCCCAAAAATACTCGTGCTTAGATAACCTGTGTCATAAGAATGAAGCAAACTGATTGCCATGAAATTATCTGATCTTATTGTTACTCTACAAAAGGACAAAGTACCTTGAGGTGKTGGAGAAGGAGCTTCTGTGCTTCTGTTTCCACTGGACTTATCCTCTAGATAAAGAAAACATGGGAAAGGACAATTAACTTTTGAAACCACAAAAATTCCACTTTGGAGAGCTGTTGGGTGTCCATGGAGTAAAAGTCTTTGTTTGCATGGTACTTTCCCTCCAGACAAACATCAGGATTCCCAGTTAGCAAGGTGTGGAGTCAGTTAAGAATGTACCTGACAGGTGAGCTTGGGAGAGGGAGGCAGGGGAGACTGGAGCTCCTTTATTTGATAAAGCAYGATCTGGCTTCTCTGATATGGGTTTGGCCTATGCTTTTGGGGAGCTGGAATGAGCTGCTCTTTCAGCAAAGACTCAGAGAAATTCAATATTTGCAGAATTGCTGAATAACCAGCACAGTGTGGACTAGCCCAATATTCTGATGCCCGCAGTTTGGCATGGATAGGGAGGGAGGCACAAACAGATCCTGCCTGAGCAAATATTTGAGTTTTCCATCCTTACCTCGCTCAGTGGTTGCTGTCAGGGTTGTTGTGGTGGTGGGGGAGGATTTGGCTGTAGTCTGAGGTCTCACCTCACCCACAGAGGTGAGGCTCAGGTTGGTGGGTGGTGTTGATTTTACCGTCGGCTCTGTAGGGAAATTGTAGCATTACTKCAAAAAGTTCAGCTCAGAAACCACTTGGAGAGGGCAGAGCTATCACAAAGAGCCCTCAAACTCCTCGAGAGTTAGGATTAATCTGCTAGGGACAGCATGGAAATAGCCTTCAACCTGCTCAGAGTCAAGGAGCTCTTGTCCTTTGGAATTCGCTTTTGCTCTTTTCACTGCTGAGCTGGCAGAGCTCAGCAAACACATGGAAAAGGTCTGGGGTTTGTCTCTGCTTCTTTCCCTGCTTTGAAAAGTGAAGTGTTTTGTCACTGGACCCTTGAACTGCCTGGCACCCACGTGATCATTTCCTTGTGTTCTGAAATGCCAACTTTCACATTCCATTTCACTGAGAGTCTCTAAACACAAATAATTCAGCTCTTGAAGTGGTCCAGAGGCTCCATCCTCTGCCTCAACCTGCTACTCCAAACTGCACCCRATCCAGAGCAAGATGGGGGGGAAAAAGCTTTTAAAAATCCCTCTGCAAGGAAGAGTGGATCACTAGCTGGGAATTTATAGGCAAGTTCCTTGTCTAGACTTCTCTTGGCTTTCCAATAAATTGAGAAGAGGGTAAAAAAKGTTTCAAGGTTAGTCTGAGRTTTTYTTYCCCCTTTATCTAAATGTKTCACTGAAATACTAGAATTTAGAATGAAATCTCTTTTAAGTTCCTTTTTTTTTTCTGCAAGGCTTGCAAGCAGAAGCTGAGATCTTTTTGAGATCTTATTCTGTAATATTTTTGGTGTCCAAAAATACACCTCCTCTACTTTGGAGGAGTAGCTATGCTTAGATTTTTTTTTTCCTGAAGCATAGCAAGAAGAGATCTGTCTCCAGAGATTCCATGGACCCTAACAGATGTRGATCTGGAGCTGAAGAGATAATTTATTGTGTAATTAGTTTCCTGTACWTGTCACAGAATCATAGAAAGGTTTGKGTTSAAATGGATCTTAAAGAGCATYGAGGTTGGATGGGGCTTGGARCAACCTGGGATAGTGGAARGTGTCCCTGTCCTGGTGTCMCTGTCCTGGCAGGGGATGGAATGGGATGAGCTTTAARGTCTCTTCCAACACAAACCATTCTGGGATTCTATGATTCTACTCTATGATCATCTCATTTCCCCTATTCAATGCAGTGATTTCTTCTCCCCTGTTTTTGCTCACACCTGTGCCTYGATCCCTCTGGGGTGAGTTGGCTGGATCAGAAGCCCTGACACCACAACATTTCCTTCCTCCTCACCACTGTCCTCTGCACAGCCCCAACCTGTGGGCTGAGCTCAGAGCAGTTCCACACTGGGATGTCCCTGAGCTGCTCTCCAGCTGGGCGTTACCTGAGGTTTGGTTCTTTACTTCGGGGCTGTGTGTTGTAGGTTGGGATTGACCTGGAACACAAGCAGAGACACACAGGTGACATTTCCAGGTTGGTGGATCCCAYAGAGAGGGTTGAAGGGTGAGCCAGAAAGGGGCCATGGTAGCCAGCGAGAGCAGAAGGGGTGAGTGGCACAAGAGACCCTGAGGAGAGGGTTTGTCACTGGTGTGGCTGGAGGGACAAAAGAGATCTTGGCTCTGAGGATCCATAGATTCATAGCTGCTGGGAAACAGCTGGGGAAAAGGGGARCAAAGATGAGGCAGAATCCCTCTGCTTTCCCCAGGCTCCCTGGAACACAGCCTCACTCTGTTCCAGACAAAAACAAGCCAAGCCAAGTGACCCTCTGGGGCACAGTGCCCTTCATGAACCCTGGAAATCTGGGGGTGAATGGTAATGGATGGGRCAGGCAGAGGCAGGATCTGGGAGAAGGTCCCTCAGCAGATGGGAATTTTGAATCAGGTTCCCATTTGGGGGCTTTCCATTTGCATCCCCACATTTCCACATGCATCCACATCCAAACAGACCCATAAAGCACATCACAGCCCAGAGGTACCTGTTCCAGCAGGGGTGGAGGAGTTTGTGGAAGCTGTAGAACCTGAAAAAAAGAGCAGGAGTGTTAGTGTTGCTCAAAGGTGATGGTCATTAATGCTCTGCTCTTCTTGCTCTCTGTGTGGCTCCTTGGGTTTTCCTCATCTTGGAAYGACTTTGAAATACCRGGTTYCCCCAAAYRCATTWGCACAGAAGTAGTAACTGAGYCAGTAGTTACTGAGTGATACAAACWCTGAATGTGATACTATCAGGCTCTGAGTAAATCAGCACTGGAGTTTATCCAATTGGGATAAATGTCCTCTCTGCAGCTGAACCCTTTGGGTGGCCATAGAAATCCATGGGGTCATTCCCTCCCTGTCAGCTGTKTGCCTCAGCTCAGCCTTGGCAAGGAAGGGGGTGTGACCTGTGTGCTGGAGCTCTTCAAAGTTTTAAGACACATTTTGGACCCTTTGTTCCCTTGAGACCTTAAGGACTGGATGGATGAGGTTTGTAAAGGCTGCCAGGAGCTATTCTCCTCTCTGGGAGAGGAGATGGGACTGTTCTCTCTGTCCCATGTACTGGGATCCTGGGAAGCTGGCTGAAGCTGTGTGAGTCTGGAGGCAGCTGCAGCCCTCAGGAGCTGCCTTCCCTGTGGGGCTGGGTGATCCTGTAGGTCCAYGCAAGGCTGTAGGTGTTTCACTGAMTCAAATTCTTCAACTGAAAAGTTTTGTTCGCTTTTGTTTATTTGTTTGCTCTTCTTTTGGATTCATGACAAAGCATCCCTGCCCCAATCCCTCATATTGCATCTGTGTTTTCCTTGAGCCCCAGCTCCTGAAATCCTGTGCTCGTGGAATCAGAGCAGAACAGAATAGAAYAGAATATTTTGGGTTGGAAGGGAACTTTCAAGATCATCTAGTCCMACCCCAAGGGTTAGATGAGAAGCCAATTAAAAATGCTGCCCTTGAAAATGGGAGAAAGAAATGTCCCCCACTTGAGGACAAGACCTGGAAAATGTAAATACACTTTAAATGCTCCAATCAAACCCAGCTGGTTTAACTTTGGGAAGGTGACTTTGAGTCTGTCATTGCTGGAATGTACATCCTAATTGGGATTTTAAAGTGGTTATTGCTGATGACCCTGGTGCTCTCTGTGGTGAAGTTTAATGAAAGAAACTACATTTCAGGTACAGAAATCAGCGGAATTTGACTCCACTGGTGATCCATCTCACCGTAATCCCATGGGAGCTACAGGATTTGGACAGAAAGGGACAGCAGGGAAGGTTAAATCCTTCCAGTCCTCTCATGATGTCCCAGTGGTCTGTGGTGGCAAAAGTGCCTTTGCAGGGGATGCAGGGCAGAGCACAGCTAGGCAGTGCCAGCCAGGGCACAGCACTGTTTGTGTGCCTGTTTGCAGCCAGAGCCTGCCCCTCCTGGGGCAGCTGCAGCTCAGCTGCTGCTTCACATCTCTCCTGAGCCAGCCTGTGAGAGAGATCTTCTCCAGGCCCCTTTCTCACAACAGAGGGGACCAGACGCGTCTCAAACTGTGTAGCTCTGACCCATCTCAGACCTCCAGCCTCCAACACCCCATAATGGCTTCAAACCAAAAGAGAGCAGGTTTAGTTTGGATATTGGGAAGGGAATTGTTCCCTGGGAGGGTGAGGGGGCCCTGGCACAGGGTGCCCAGAGAAGCTGTGGCTGCCCCTGGATCCCTGGCAGTGTCCAAGGCCAGGCTGGACATTGGGGCTGGGAGGAGCCTGGGGTGGTGGAAGGTGTCCCTGCCCATGGCAGGGGTGGGATGAGATGAGTTTTAAGGTCCCTTCCAACCCAAACTGGTCTGGGATCCCATGATTTGATACCAGGAGCTGTAGGGTGATGTAGATGAACTTYGGAGTAGGTCCATGAGCTGCTGGTTCCTGGGGGAGGCTGAGAGCCCTGCAGGGATGAGGGTCTGGAAGGAGACCCTCAGCACTGAGTGTGGTTTTCCAGGACCTGGCTCAGAGCTCACMCTCAGTACCTTCTGATTGATCTCATTTTCCTCATGGAATTGCTTTTGAGCCATAATTGTTTTTGTATCTGAGGCTTTATGACAATGATCCCGGCCAAACAGGAAGTGTGTAGACCATGGTGAAGACATAATAAAATGTGGTCWGTTCCCACACACCATTTGGCTGTGAAAATCAGGCCGGACTTTTCAGACCTTTTCCACATTTTTCTCTTTTAATTTACTGGGCAGCAGGCTGGGAAAATTGTCCTGTTCAGTGCATGAAAAAGGAGACAGGATCAGATCTTTCATTATACAGAGAGGAAGGGACTGATTAGTTTTCTAAATCCATTTGGAGCAAGATCAGAAAACAAGGACCTTTATCTGCAGCAAGGAAAAGGGAGTCTGGGCAACAGGAACCTGCCTTAACACAAGAATAGTGGGGTGCTAGGAGCGATTGTCTTGGAAAATTTGTGGAATTTCCTTCTCTAGGAGTTTTGAAGAGCAAGTTAAAGGGGTGTCAGGGTAGTAAGAGACTGGGTTATGAGCAGCTGTATCATCACCTGCTAGATAAAAATATAATGAAGAAAAACCCAAATATTTTAGACATGTTTTCTCTTCTGAAAGAGGTAGAAATGCTTCTTTTGAGGAAGGGGAGATTCTGGATATGGTTTGCGAATGCCCTAAGATACTTTCTATAGTCAGCACAAAAAATAATGTGCTGAGATCATAATTGGGGGGGGCGTTAGTATCCTCCAGCAGCTGCCAGACTCAAACAGCTCCTGTTTCTCCAAAATTCCCTTGCAGGACCCCTTGTCATGTTTTCCTGTGGGGAGAAGTAGCTGTTTGTGACACTTTTAAGGAAATGTTCACAAGTGCTTCTTCATGCACATGGTATGAAATTCCTTATGCCTCTGGGTGTGAAATGGACATTTCCTCTTTCCTCATTCCTCATGGACAAATTCCTCATTCCTCTGGGAAGCACCCAGAATCACTGGAGACAGAGCTGCTGTCTGCACTTAGCCTTTGCCAAAGGAAAAGGGGAATGAAGGCTCTGAGCTGGCCTTTTATTCCACCATTTTTGGTGCAGATGAGGAGAAATCTGAGAGCTTGAGCACAGCCTCTAAGGGATGGGAGGAACCTGAGCGTGAGGGAGGTGAAACTGCACTGTCGTGCTATCCCTGATGGGACCATCCATGGGTGATTTCCAGTATCCCTGGCACTAGGACCAAGAACATTGTATTCAACACTTCCTTCACTGCAGCTCATCCTGTCACTGTGGGTCCCACTGGAGAACTTTGGAAGCTCTCTGTTTGCAAAACGAAACCTTGGGTTATTGTCAATAAGATGAAAAAGCCTTTCTTTTTTGCCCCCAGTGCTCCTGGAGTTCACAGGCTGAGTCAATGTTTGCCCTGCTGTGGAGAGGCCAAGGGATGGAGATCCCTTCTGGCATTTTGCTCCGGAATAAACGGCCCTGGCTTCTCTAAACACATCCACGCTTTATTTCAAAGTGGAGCAGGCCTGGCTCTGACTTCTGGCTGCTGCCGCTTGTTATGCCTTCCCTGCCAACTCAAATAAGCAAAAGTCCTGTTCTGTTGGGTGYTTTCTTTGGGGAGGGTGCTCAGCATCCTGGATCCCACAGGAGTGGGATGGATCTGTGCAAAGCAGGATGAGACCCAGCTCCCATTGTGGGGCCGGGCAGCAGGATGGGGWTGAACAAAACGCGCCACGCGTCGCGGCTCCCCACAGACATCCCAGGGGAATCTGGAGTTGGAAACCATTCCCTCCCGGCRCTGCTGCCAGCACAGAGAGCCCTGGCTGCATAAACAGCTCCCAGCAACAATGGGGACGCGGCCGGCGCAGCTGGAATTGCAATAAACATCAAAGCTCTTCCATGAGCATCAGCGCTGCCAAGGCGTTGGATGYGTGTTTGGGTGCAAAGGATTTACAGTGCCTGTGCAATCCCAGGTGGAAACTCGGGGCTGGCTGAGGGATTTACAATGGGAAATGTGACTTTCTGCTAGTGCTGTCATGGGAAAGTCCCGGGTACCCAGCAGAGCTGCAGGGCTGCAAGGAGCATGTCAGAGCTGTAGCTGCATTTTGCACTCAGTGCTTCCCGGTTAATTTTTCCAATGGATAAACAGGAGAATTTTGGATTTGTTATTTGCAGTAGTTCTTCTGGATGTGTCCATACTGGAAGCCTTTCCATTGAAACTTTCCTCATGGCAGCTGAGATATTCCCAGAGCCAGCAGCTCACCCCATTYGCTCCTCAGCACAAAAAGAGAGTGATGTCAACCAAAAGGTGAATTTTAGGTATTTCTGCTTTGGTATTATTTTTGGCAATTGTAGACATTTAAAGAATAGTTTTTCCATCTCCTCACCAAAGATAGGGATACTTTAAACCCCCAAACTTTGCCAGGGGCCTTGGGCCAGCTGTTGGAAAGGCTTCAGCAGGGTTTAGATCAGGCTCAAGACAGGCTTGTGCTGTCTACTCTGTGTTCATAGAGGGATGGAGTCACTGGGGAGGACTCCTGGCTCTGGTRTGGAATYCCAGGGACTGGTYCTGCCCACTCAGAACTGCTGATGGRGACAGACCATCTCTTCCCAGTGACRAGGAACCCCAGACTMCTCTTTTCCCTGGCAGTTCTGGGGGGATGTCCCACCTGCAGAGCYCATGGGGCAGTGCTGTCCCTCGGTGTCACCCTGTGCTTGAAAATGCTTTCAGAAAAGAGATACAGCAGCCTAAAAAYAGGCTTTTCAACTCATATATTGGCACTTCTGTCAGATGACCCATCACAAAAAAACCCACCAACCACTTAACACAGGTGCAGCCATTTCCTGGGTGGAACACAGTGGTAGTGAGCAATACCCCCAATTCTTAGAACTTCCACGTGGAAAAAAAAAAATCCTCTGTTAGGAAACCTGGAAAGCAGAGAGCTCAACCAAATATATTCCGTGCCTAAATAAAGTGTCTCTGCCTTRAGGGTCTCACAGCAGAACAGGTGGGGTGGGAATTGTGGAGGAGAGAGAGAAAAATGTTGTTCAGTGGGCCGGATAACTGACAGCCTCAATCAGGGCCAGATCCA